ACCCCCCCCCCCTTCCCATCCGTACTCCACCTCCTCTCCCATCTTCCACCACCAACTCCACCTTCAGCACCAAGTTCAACCTGTACCACATCGACCAAGACGACCCCGCCAGGATGAAGAAAGTTTGGAATGAGACGGTCAAGTCTTCCCGGATGCTCTTCATCATCTTCGTGATCTTCGTGGTGCTCTGGACTCCCTACGCTGTCGTCATTGCCGCAGACGTGCAGGTAGGTGGCGCTGTGGGACTGTTTTTAATGTACCGTAGGTGTTTTTATGCTCCCGTCTACACAATTTTAGATCATTTAGGAGAGACGGGCTTTTGACCCTGCCTGTCAGTGCTGACCCGGACAGAGAGGGACTCAACATGCAAGCAGAAAAACGGAGGTATTCGACAAAGATGTTCTCTCCATTCGGGATTCAAACTCGGGTCTCTTGCGTGCGACAGCGAAGCACCTAACCACTGCGCCGTAGACACCCGTTTGTGGGTCTGTCTCAAGGCTGAAACTTTATCCTTGACTCGAGACATACTGGTAACAGCTTGTCCTACCTGTAGCCCTGACTCGAGACATACCAATAAACGCGTGTCCTAACTCTAACCCTGACACTGACAGGAGATATGATCGCTTATTTTAACTCTTTTCCTGTCTGGCAACATTACCGTATATCCCAAGCGTACACCCTGACATAGATTTTTACCTCTTTCTCTAACTCGTATCCTGACATGAGACATTAGATTTAGAGATAAGCCTAACCCTAGCAAGAGACATTAGTGGTAGGCCCACTGTTTATCCTAACAACAGTACATCAACACTAATCCTTAGCCTAACCTTTGACGTGAATTTGATCCACATACCCCCCTTCCCACTCTTTTATCTATTCTTTTCCTCTGTTTGTAGTTTCTTATGTTTGTTTCAATAAAAGAAGTTCATGGCATGGTACATCTTAGTTTTGTTTAGTAAGGGTTTTACGGCGCTCGCAACTGCATAAGGTCATATGAGCGCGCGAAACACAAATTGGTTGCATTCACAACAGTTCACTGCACGGCTTGGCCCAGGTCAGTGATCAGATTTTCAATGCTAAAACTTGAGATAAAGTTCGATTTTAAAATGAAAACCTGATTAAAATCAAAATAATTGTGTTTATAAGTTACCGTAAAGGTCAATGGCCTTTAAAAAATCTATAATTCTGTTGGGATCAATGACGGAGAACAATTCTTGCAATTTTTTGCATTTAAAATACATGTACTTCTTTCGGGTCATTCCAAAGTCCTGACATTCTGTTAAAATGTGTCTTATGGTAAAATCTGTGTCACATCCAACACAAAACGGTTTTCATCTCCCTGTAGGATGTACTTATGTGTTAGGGAGGTGTATCTGAAGCGTAATCGAGTAAAAATGACTTCGTCTCTTCTGGAGAGGCCCGAAGGTTTTCATGGACCCAGTTTGGACATGATGTTGTGGAGTATAATATTGTTAGGGAGTCTCAGACAATACTCTCTAAAAGGATTACTTGATCTAAAGGCTTCCTCTCGGTCATAACACGTGGTATCTGTTGTAAACGTTGTGTTTTTTTCCTCTGTATCACACTGTATGGATAAATGCTTTACGCTCTATCTACCCAATTAAAACATTTAGGATGCGGGCTGCCGGTTACAGCCAAGCCACGCTTTGTGGGGGTACAAGTACAGCCAAACAGAAAGGTGGAAGGTAGGCCTACTCAGTACAGTCCTGCCTGCTCCAACGACCTCCTGTTCAAGATAGTTGCCTGTACAAACGACCACTTCCCAGTTCGAGGGTTTTTTTTCTACATCTATTATAATGACACCGTCCAAGAAGACCACTTGTCTAAGATGACCACCTTTTTCCTCGACAAAGGGTGATTATCTTGGACAGGTTCAAATGTAGTTTTCCTTTTATTTGAAAACGAACTAACAATCATCACACCAGATGTGCCGTTAGTACTGCTAACTAAATATTTTATGTTTACGGGTACATTTTGTAATATATTTTAAAAAACACAAAGAGCTGGATTATTTTGAGTATGTCTCCACGATCACAATTTTATATTTCTCCCCCTTTCCTTTCCCCCCAGAACACCATGCCTACAGCTCTCCATCTGTTCGTGACGATGCTCGCCCACCTTCACTCAAGCGTGAACTTTTGCGTTTACATCATCTGCAACCGGAACTTCCGGCGGGCTGTGCTTCGTCTGCTCTGTTGCCGCTCATGCACAGACACGACGTCGACGACGCCTTCGGAGGCCAAATCGACGGGCAAACTTGCAAGTGTGTTGGGGAGCAGCCAGTACGCCACCGCCTCTGACCGCGTCGCTAGCCCGGCCAACAGCCTCGAGGCTTGATCCCCGACCACCAAGCACTGACAGTGGGCAGCTTGTGGCGGCCGAGGTCTTGACTGAGTAAGGTCAACTCAACTAAATATGGAGTGTCCATGAACTTTGTTGTTTCTCTTAGACTCGGTAGGATTTCCTATACGTTTTGTGTCCGCCTGTCTGTCTAAGTCTCTCAGTTTACAAAGTACTAGGTGAGACAAATTGTCACGCGTCATTGTACCGGCATCTAAGGTGTAGCGGTTTTAGACGGTTCGCTGTTGCACACAGGAAACCCCAGTTCGATTCCCATGCTGGGAGTTATTTTATACTAAGTCTCTCGGTCTTTTTGCTTGGATGTTGTATCCCTCTCAGATCGATCTGGCCCTGAGAGGCAGGGTAGGAAGCCCGCCTCCCAAGTAATTTTAATTGTGTCTATGGGGGTGTAAAATACCTATAGTAAAACACACACACATAAACACATAATTATAATACCCTAGAGGGCGCTGTCGGCCCTAATAGCAAGAAGCCACAAGGC